CAGTTTGAAGGAACTAAGCAAGATTATGTGGTCAGAGATATCCATACTTCGCTGTTGGTTGTATCTACCCGAAATAACTATGTCCCTGTTCATTTCCAATCTCTTTTCAAATCTAAACATACAGCCTCAGAGCTTATGGTCATTATACATCACTTTCATTAATCTCATTAAGAACAATACTCTTTCTAAGCTGCTTGTTTTCTTTCCTTGCAAAGCAATTCATCTCTCTGGATCTAAACAAATCTTCTGACCTTTTCATTTGTTCATGGAGCTCATGTTCAAATGAGAGCCTTCTTCTAATAGCTTTCCAGCGTGATAACTACACATCCCAAAAGAGCTATAGGCTTTTGTGAGCTAAAATTTAAAAAAAAAAAAAAAAAAATTTTCCAAAGAATGTGATTAATACTACATCCCTAAGCAAGCAATTAGATATCCTGTATCTGACATATAGGACTGAAAAATATTAATCTATAAGCCATGTTCCCTTTTGTGAAAGACACTATATTGCTTCAGCTGTTTCTGCTTTAAAGTAGGGTATAATATCACTGTTTATTCTAATTAGGAAAGACCTGGATGCACCATGGGTCAGAATCCCAGCATAATATGAACTATTCTGTAGCTTTTCTCTCTTTCTTCTTTCTCCTTTCCAGCTCTTACATATTTTCTGAGAAATATTTCCATATTCTTATCTAAACTCCAAACACTAATCAAGGAATTAGGACCTACTCCCTGTTTCTTCAGTGTACCTGTAACCCTCTGCATCCTAGGTGTTAAATTCAGTGGCACAGAAAAATAAGGCTATCTTTTTAAAAATCTAAAGGCTGAATCTATCAATTTGTCTTAGATAAACAGTAGTTGAGATGGTGCGAAGGCTTGAAAACATTAATAAAGGCTTTGGCCATGTGATTTTGATTGACACTTCTCTCATTCCTGTAATAAAGTTGGAGTAAGAGGCGATTCTCTCAGTTGTCCATGAAACTTCTTTTAGTGTAATAAATAGCCCAAGCCTTGCCCTTGTGCAACTGTCTAAACGTTATATCACATGTCATTCTCTCTTCATGAAATCAAGGCATTGTTCCTGTTGGGTACTTTTATCCGTCTCTTTCAGTTTGAGTATGTTTTTTCAACCTTGCACTTTTAAGAACCATTAAAGAATTACTGCCTCACATTTCCTCTTTTCAAAAACAAAGAAGTTGTAATTTCCATAAGTACATGTTTTATTTGAAGTATTTGCTTTCAAACTGTAAATTGGTGTTTTTTAAAGTTTGATCTTGGACTGTCTACATTTGAATTGCCTGGATCTCTGGGCTTGAACCCAGGAATTTGCATTTTAGCAAGCTTCCAGTGGGTAACTATGCACATTAATATATATAAATCACCAAGTCGTCAGGAATCTCCATGTATGTCTCTGAGTGGGACTAGCTACTTAATTCTTTTATTTTTCTTAACCAAAGACAGTATCTTTCATTTTTTGCAGTGTGTGGCATTTATAATTTTCTTAGAACAAATTGTCTATTTCTGATCCTACATTTAAAAATCCACACAATTTTACTTGTTATACGAGAGAGGTTGGAAATAAAAGAGGGTGAGGGACTAAGTAGCCTGGGATAAGATCCTACCTGAACCACAAGTCGAAGCATTGCTATTTCTTGTTCTTTGGCACCAGAACTGGGAAGGTTCTTTCTTCTTTCTTCTTAGTGATGCAAGGACCATTCACTGGTTAAATGGTTAAGATGGGTGCTATGACTATTGCCACTTCTCTCTTAAAGCAGTCCTTCACACCACCAAAGACTGTCAGTACTATCATACATCCTTGTCCAAAGTTACAAGGAACCCAGAAAGCACCTTCCTGTCATACTGGTTCATCTCCTTTGCTGTTGTCTCCTGCAGATCCGCAACTCGGGGCCCGCCAACAGTACAGTCCAGTTCATCTTCTATCAGCCTATCATCCACCGATGGAGGGAGACGGATTTCTTTCCTTGCTCAGCAACCTGTGGAGGAGGTAATGGTGTTCATTTAGCCTAGGAACTGTTGGCTTCTATGAGAGAAGACTTAGCTATTACAAGAGTAGTCACTGCAGCACGGAAGAAATTTAGTGTCGTGGTGGATCAGATCCTTTCTTCTGAATGGGTCCAAATCCTGAAGCCCTCTTGTAAGGCGGACACCTCAGTCTAAATGCTCCATAAATATATTCTCTCTATAGAATCCCATTAGAGGAAACGGTGTTTACTCTGTTCCTTGATTCCATGGAAGGCCAAGACAGGAACTATCATAGCTTGTCAACAGCGCAGTCTTGAGGTGATTCTGTTCTTTTGAGAATAAACTACTCATCTGGTTGAAGTGAACTTATTTATTCAAAAATCAAGTGAAGAATATTTGCCAGGCCAGCTGCATACCATGATGTGTCCAAAAAGAATCAGAGATTAATTTAATTAAAAGAAGTCGTTTATTGTCAAGAGGGAGAAAAATAACTGCACTGTAGACTTAGGCTGAGTCATTTTTTTCAGCTCTTCCCCATCATTCGTGAAGTAAAAAGAATATCACTTGCCTTATTTAGCATTAAAACACATCTCTCTTGCAAGGTCGTCAATTGAATTTCTGTCCTTGTTCTGTCATATCTGTAACATGGACAGCATTTTGTGTTACTAGAAAAGATTCCTCCCCTCATTTTCTGCCTTTATAATTATAAAGTTTACATAATAATTCCTTTGAATTATTTCATAATTTAGCCATATCTTTATAGATCATTTAGTTCATTTAAATTTCTCTATTGTAATGTAATGAAAAACTTAATACTTAAATATTTTTCTCCTTTGAAATTATTTCCTTGAAGTAAATTCTCAAGAGTGAGTTTCAGAATTTTTGTGGCTATTGGCATATATTACCAAAATTCTTTCCAGAAGGGTAATAAGCAGTCTATGACTATTTTAGTTTCATTTCCAACTGAGCCAGTATTTGTAGATTATTATTTTTTTTTAAGTTTTGGTAATAAAATGGGTACATAATTGTATGTACATTACTTTAAAAATGAGGACATCAAGTAAATACTAGGTCTGGCTTTACAGAAGCCTGTTAATTGGCTAGTTTTAAGTACCTAATCCATATAGGTATTGCTAGATTATTTTGGCAAGAGAAAGATGGTACCTCAAAATGAAGTTAAATGATTATCCATTAATTTTTATAAAACAATTAAGAGCACATCATATAATTCATCTTCAGCTATATTATCAATGTCTACATAATGTGAACAAACCACTCAAAATGAGGCTCTATAGAGCAATGTTAGACCTTAGCTTAAAAGCAGTCCAAACTACATCAAGTGCTTTTACTTTATCATTATGTATTAGCTCAACATTTTAAACATTTCCATAAAATAGTGTTTCCAGTTGCTCTATCTGTCCTGAATATAAAATTACTTTGTTTAAAAATAAACTTGCCAATTACATTGATGTTTCATGGAAATATGTTATTTTGATTCGCCTATTAATGACTAGCACAGGAAATGGTTTCAAAGAAAGAAATAAGAGGGAGTAATTTTTTTTCTTTCCTTTTTAAATGAAGACCATGTTTTTGTGAGAAGTAGCAATTCAGTAACATGCCCACTATGCCAATTTCACGTATTGCTGCTATTGGAGTATAATTTCAGTAACTTTGACAATGGCTTGCTGTATAATAAGAATTAATGTTAGAGTTGTATATATCTCACCCCTTTGGGCCTTATTTTCTTTACATCTAAGTGAAGAAGTAGAACTGTCAAGTGGAAATCTTACTTGGAAGTCCAGATAAAAGGAATACGTAATGCTCAGAGCAAAGATGTGAGCATCTTACTTAACGGACCATAGTTTAAAATTTCGTGAAGAAATGATCTCTAAATTTTCTTTTATGTTTCTGGTTCCAGATTTAACTAGTCAACCATTTTGCTAAGTGTAAAGAATTGCTATTCCAAATACTTTGTGAAGCTTTAGAAAACATGATTATCCGACCATTTTGGTCATCTATTTAATTTTTGTTCTAAACTTCCATCTCACAAACTCTAGAAGAGCTTCAAAGCAAAATTTTAAACTGACAAATTATAATTTTTGAAATTATAATCTCAGATTTATAATTTACTTATTGTGCCTACATTTTACTACATGGTAAGTTTTGTCCTTAAGTGAAATTATTTTATGGAAAATTATAAAATGATTAGCTTGCCATAAACTTATTAGCTTTTGAGTATAATGTAATTGAAAAATAAAGACATTTACTTGCAGAAAATATCACTTTGCTCTTTGATTTTCTTATAAAGAAAAAAATTAAATGGAACATGTGCTTTTACCCATTAACTTTCATGCTTTTCATCTTTACCGTAAAATTGTAAAAAGGTCTTTTTTTAGGGCTTTAATGAACAATTAATTTTTGTGGGTGGTCTGAGAAAACAGCCTCAAGCCAGGAACTCTGGTTTATAAACCTCCATCTGATTTCCTAAAATCTTTTGCAAGATTTTTAAGGACTCTAAATCTGATTTTCTAACACATATTTAGCAACAGTACTTAACCACCTGCCAGCGAGGATATATTTTGGAGTTAGTTAAGGTTAAAATGATACAAAAAGGTTAATTTTTTAAAAACTCCTTATGTACATTTATTTTTCTCCCCAAGAATCTAAGTCCTCATCAGCACCCCTCCAGAAATCCACAGAACAACAAAGAGGCAGGTAAAAAAGGCAGAACACATTATAAACAGAATTAACTATTATTCAGCAACACTATTTTTTTAAAGAGGATTCTCTAAACAGTGGAAATTTGTGCATGGAAACAAATATTGGTTAGAAACTTAAGAACAAATGACGAAGAATTTTGGGTGAAGCAAAAATTGCACAGTAGGAAGGGCTTTTTTAGTTTTTTAGGAAAACGGAATTTATGACGGTTACTGTTAGGGACTTGATCGTGTATTTACTCAGTTTAACCCCTTCAGGTTGAGTTCAGGCAAAAATAATGTCAGGCACCTGGCAGGACCTGATCCTGTGCTATGTTCCATTGTCCCTCATTGACAAAAGGAGCAGTGTTGGAGTTTATTTTACTTACTTATCTGGAAGTTTTTCTCCCTGGTATCCCAGGTACAAGCGAGCCAATTTTGCATCCATGTATGGGATGGTTGATAAATAAATACTGAATGATACTGAGAATCTGTGTTAGACTTTTCGATACAAAACTAATAAGAATGGTTCTTGCCAACAGAGTCTTATAATCTAGTTATGCCGTTATGTAGTTCAAGCCCTAGGATTTAATTATTAAAATTTGAGTAGTAAAACAGTATTTGAGGCCTGCAAAACTTAATGAGCCTTCTTTTTACCTGTCTTCTGTCCTGGTAATGACTAGCACAGTGGGGAAGAATTTCCTTAATATGAGATGGCCAAAAAGCATAAAGAAATATATGATATTGATGTGTTTGGTTAAACTCCCTGTATGGTTTGATACTGCAGGTTACCAGCTGACATCAGCTGAGTGTTATGACCTTCGGAGCAACCGCGTGGTTGCTGATCAGTACTGTCACTATTACCCAGAGAACATCAAACCCAAGCCCAAACTTCAGGAGTGCAACTTGGATCCTTGTCCAGCCAGGTCAGTCAAATCTACTAGTTAATTTAAGTCAAGTTCCAAATAAGCGTCTTAAATTAAACTTTTTAATTAAAAATAAATAAATGTTTGCTGTCCAGTGTCCATTCCTAATCATGTGTTGTTAGTACCCATGCCCTTTGTTCTTGCTGCTATATGATGCCACCCCAGGGTCTACAGATTTTCTGTTTGTAAAGCTACAAGTGAAGCATTCACAGTCATTTTCTCTTCTGATTTTCTTTCATTATGGTTACTTGTTTCCCTCCTTAACAAGGTCCAGACCAGTGGACCTTAATAAGCGTGATGCTACAATGTTCTCAGGATACTTTCCATTTTAACTGTTACCTGATCAGTGACATGACCACAGCAGACCATATATCAGGGTCACAGCTGACCCATTTTAGCCTGTGGTAGTCTACACCGATTAACTAGAATCAAAACCAGTCTTAGAACAGTTTTACATTTGAACAAACTCAGTCCTCGTTAAAGAGAAAGCAGGATATATTTCCAATAGTCAGATTTTTTTAAGGTCTTTCTAATTAGGAGCTTTAAAGAGACACTTGATGTTTCCACATGTTCTTGTTTGCTTTTTTGGAAACCATAATTGGCTTTCAGTTATTTGCAGGATCAAGAATCAGACTGACAAATGAAATATCTCAGATGAGGAGTAGTCATACAAGTGCAGGTCAAGAATCTTTACATAGGTGTAATATTTGCCTTTATTGCACTCCTTCATAGTAAATCTCTTTATTAGCTTACTCATCCCCAACGTATGAGAGAGGATGTAAGAAAACTCTTCTACAAAACTAATCCTGAAGACCAAAAGACAAAGGATTCTTTCCCAAGCTCCTTCAATTTCTGAGAAACACCTCGATGTTATTTTTTAAAATCATAGTTTACTAAATATATATGCATAAAGCAAAACTTTGTATAATTAAATTGCTACATGAGCAACGCAGATAAAAATCATTTTATCTTTGAATACAATTTTAATTTTTGCTTTCTGCTGTTAACTTTTTAAAGTTTACTTGTACTCTTTCTGCCTCATTCATGAATTCTAAATTCTACGTGTTATTTGAAACTGCTTGTTTCATAGCTCATAAAAGTGAATTCAGAATGATAAGTTTGTGTGCAAGAAACAGAAAGAATAGATATTTTATAATTATATAATTTAGGCAAAGTTTAATTTGGCTTTATATTACACCAGAAAATAATGTATTAACATTGTATATGGTTAAAAAAACTGAATGAGGTGTCAGAATTTTGCTTGGACGTGTTTATTTTGAAAATATTAAAGGTATGAAGTATATTTAGCCAAGATAATTATTACTAATGTAATTCAACCCTATTTAAAAATTATTCTATTTATTACACATCTTTATCCATATCTATACCAGAAAGACTGGTACATGAAAAGAACAGTTAATCCTATTACAGGCAGGTCAGCTCAGCCATAGAGAGACCTTGAAGTCTTACATACACTTTCATAAAAATTTGTATATGTATTTCTAAGAGAAATGAGTTCACTCTCACAACTGCATAAAGCTTTTTTCTACTGGGAAAATAATTTCAACGAAGAGATGGCCATGGAAGACAGTTGTGAAATAAAAGCATTATGTTAACCATCTTAAGAAAATGTTTATAATCAGAAAAAAATTTACTTAGTTTTTTCTGGCTTCTGATTTTTATGTATCTTCTCTATTGGAGTAATATTTGTGGCCTATTTGTTATCCAAAAGCAAAAGGCCGTTCTATATCTAAAGAAGTTTTCCTGTGTAATTTGTGCTTTTTCTGCATCCAGTGTTATTTTAAAACATCTAATGCAGCACATGTATAAATGTTGGGACAGGTGGCTGTTAAAAAAAAAAAGAAAGAAAAAAATAAGTGAGAGGCAAATGTCAGGAAGCTGCTTTTTTATTGCAGAAGTAATTAAACAAAGCTGTAAAAATTAAGACGGCAATAGGAGACGTTTAAGAGAAGTCTGCTTTAGGAAATATAGATGTGCTTCTCTAAGGTTAAAATACTTCAGATTGCTGTGAAATTCATTGAATTCATCTGCATGCCTGAGATTAAAGCAGTCTTTCTGAATTCCAAGAGAAAATGAGAAGTGATGGTCTGAGAAAAGAAGATAAATAGACTCTATAGAATAGATCTCATCAGAATACCAGAATCAAGGCCTCAAGGAACTGTTTTCTAACTACAAATTTAACTACCTAATAATAAAATCAAGAGTGATGCAATGATATTAATCCAATGCCTTTGTGTCCAAAATTTGAAGCCCCCAAAAGGGAAAACATAGACAGTCTTAATACAGATAAAGTCACATATTTTTTGAATTTCAAAAGAAATTTGTTTTATCTAGCCAATGAGCTATTTGTTCACTTTACATGTATTAGAGTAGGATTTGAGGCCTATTACATATTGAGAGCAAATGCCATTCAGATAGCCACATTTATTCTGTCAAGATTGGAAGGACCATGGACAGCAAAAAGGACACTAATTCTGTAACCCTAGGTTTATTAGTTTACAATTCTGCATCTCAGTTTTCTCCCCTATAAAATGGGAGTAAGGGGATTATTTGTTGCACTAAATGAATAGTTTTCAGACTGTGCCTACAGAACCTGTTGTTCCATAAAGTTTCTTTATTAAGTTTTATTTTACATATTTTGAAGTATCTTTAAAAAGTAACTCACAAAAAGTGTATTCTAACATGTCAAACTAATTTTAACTTATTTGACCTAAGCTAAGTTATAAAAATACTTGTAACAATTGTAAAAATGTTATACTACCAAAGTAAATACTTCTTGCCCTTATCGTTAAAGTCTTCGATTATGTCAGTTAAATTGAAAAAAATAAATATCCTAAGATTGCAAGGTGAGCTGTGAAAACTGTTACCACTAGCAACTACTTCTCTGTGGTAATGAGAACTTTTTATAACTGTACATCTAAAACCAAAACCAACTGGGTGTGACAATCATTAGCCAAAATCCTCGATAATCCATTTTTTTCTGATTACCAAAATAGCATCACTGTTCTCATTAATCTCCTTTTACAATAAGTAAATGTTATATATTTGAACTAATGAATGACATCACTCACTCATTTCACTCACCAACTGGCTTCCATGGTTGTGGACTGGTTCATGGTTCATCTAGTGGTTCTCAGGGCTAAGAAGATTGTTGACATCTAGCCTATTCTTTTCAAAATAATTTTTATGTCTTTATGACTTTTTCTGACTCTTAATGCTAACTTAGAAATGTTGATGAGTTAAAAAGCTGTAATGAAAACATTAAAACTCACTAGAAATCTCCAGTGCCTACAGATAACCACTGTTTATGCTCTTGCTATATTTCTTTCATCTTGTTTATAGCTCATAACACAAATGAAATCCTACTGTGTACAATAGACATATAGAATTTAGTGACTTAGTTCTTGGTTTCAGCTATTCTAAAGCAAGCTTGAAAGTCTATGACATATAGTAACTCGACATTTTTCTAAGACAGGAATTTGAGTTCCTTATGCTACAAGACCAATCATTAAGCCTACCTGACAGCCAGTAGTTCCATCTTAAGAGAGCTTTGTTGCTCTCTGCTGGTGTCATTTATGCAGTCATTTTTATGAGGCGATAAAATACTTTGTTTCCTAGCCAAAAGTAGCCTCAAAAAGGAAGCCAAACTTAGTGCTTATAATGGAAGGGAAGAGAAAGTGAAGTTAAAAATGTGTTGGCTTTTAGCTAAAATTAAGAATAATTTTCACTGGTCGCTTGGAGCTGGGACATCACCAGTCTCATCATATGCTCTATACTCAGCATAGCATATGTGCGGGTGGTAGTCTCAACTTGGATAGTCCCAGAAGTCCAGAGGCATGACCTTCCTGTATGCCAGGGACCTACTACATGTTTAACTTATTTTCTGCTTCATTAATGTAATGATAGTAGGAA